CTTTAGGTCTGTCCAGCTCTCCATTCATCATGAAAAATTACTGTTGAGAAAGCTGTTTTTATGTATTTCTGTATTTTCTATATTAAATATATTTTTATGTTACACTTTTATATTTGTGACTTGTTTAAAGGTGTGAGTTTGGTTGCTTGAATGCCTTTAACCAATGTTTTTAATATTCTGCATCCTTTCTTGTTGTTTAGAAATTGCAATACCAGCTTTTGCAAATATTTTCTTGCTTGTCTATCCATTTTTCATGCTTATTACGCTTTTAATCTCTTTTGAATCTCTTTGTGATGCTCTTAAACCAAATCTGTTTTACTTTTTCCAATGTTTTAATTTGCATAATTAATTCTTTTATGATCTCTTCATTTTTTTCACAATTTACAACTGTTTTCATTAACTTAAGTTTATATATCTTTATAGCTAACTAAAATTAAAAATAAAGATCAATAACTATGTTATATATATATATATAAAGATATTTTTGTAGGTACAAAATTTAATGATCGAAATAAAAGTATAAAACTTGATATTACTAGACATATTAAAAAAAAAAATGGGTGAAGCAACCAGTTTCACTCACGCTCTTCAGGCTTCAACGGGAGATTTAATTTAAGATTAAACACAGTAAAATGTACAATAAAAGGAATATGTGGGAGGAAAAAAAAAATAGAGCGGTAGCGAAACTGGTTGCTTCGCCCATTTTTTTAATATGTCTAGTAATAAGTTTTATACTTTTATTTTGATCACACACACACACACACACACACACATATATATATATATATATATATATATATATATAATATAATATAATATAATATAATATAATATAAAAAATAGGAAAGAACACCTTAGGTAAATAATCCAAAGTTCTTTAGTATTTTTGTTATTTTTAAAAAATAGTGCTTGATACAAAAGTAGAGCATAAAAATAATTATTTTAAAAATATGATTCCATCACTACATAAGGGTTCTCATGTTTCAAAACAACAGCTGAAAACATCAATAGAATTAATTCAATTTAATTCAAATAATTATATTGAAGTTTTCGGCTCTTGTTTTGAAACGTGAGAACCCTTATGTAGCGGTGGAATCATATTTTTAAATATATATTATGCCTATAAACATTTTTTTAGTGAATACATGTGTTTTAAGTGGACATGTATTATTTTTGTTAACTATGAAATTAATGTCCACTGCCCTAGATACTTATTAATAAAACATACCTCTCGGCTTGGATCAACCCTGCATTCCCTTGTCCTGCTAAAAGCACCTTTTGTTTGACAGGTGTACTTATTTTACTGTATGACCATGGCAATCTTTCCAGCCAAGCAAGACTAAATTACCATTTTTTTTTATGAGCTATTCGTCTCTTCTTGCGACTTTACATTGTCTATATCTGTTAACTATATTATTGTACATGAAAGATAAACCGATTTAAGCAATTTGATGGATTTTCATCTTACTTTATTTTTACTACTATATTTTTTTAGTATCATGAAAATGTGAAATTAAAATCTGTTTGCTTATGTATTTTGCAATATGATGAACTAATCTTGAGTTGCATAATAAAATCACATGACACTAAGTTATTGCAAATATTTCTAACAAAAATATGTAAGTTGAAATTATTATTTTATAGAAATATAAGTATATTCCCAATATCAGTTGGTTAATACTAATTTTATTTTGAAAAACATTGATTTGCAAGATAAAATCTGTTAGACTGAATCAATATTTTTCCATCATAACATTTTTTTGTCTTGCTATTAAAGATTTTACAGCATTTAAAGTTCAATGTGTGATGTTTGTAATATAATCAGTTTGTAAACCTACAAGAACATTAAAAGAACTTCAATATTATATAACCATATGTATTACTATTGCATTCATTTATTTACATCAATTTTGTACAATTTTCAAAAGTATACATTGCACCACAAAATCCTGTAAAAAGCAAATTTATGACTCATTGGACTTATATTTGTAATCCTAATTTATCAAAGTTTTTATTTTTTTTTTTTATTTTTCTAGGAAAATTAGTTGGTGAACCCAAGGTAAAGCGATTGAAAAATAATTCTCGATTACAGCAAATTGACATCACTGAGCACATACAACAGCTCCCTAAAGAGCTTCGGGATTTAACACTTGATTTACAAAATGAAAGGTATTTGCTGCTTCATTGTTTATTTTCCAAATTTTTCTTTAAAAAGAAACTGCTAATATTTATTCTGTATGATAATGGTGAAAATATATGTATTCTTATTCAAATATATTTTTTATTCCTATACATAAGGTATTTAGCAATCTTGGTGTTCTGGGATTAGTGTAAATTAATGTAGAATCAATCACATTCTTTTATTTACTTAGCTATAATACAAGGCCACATGTTGAGTCCCCAATGAGGAATGATACTACTGCATTAATAATGGTTATTAAAATAAACTTGTTAATCTTTATTTCGCAGCACATTTTCTTTATTATTAAGTTTGGATTAGTACAGTACAAGGTCATATCGGGGGGGGTGATTTGTGTTGCACCTGCCTTAAAAATCAGCATTCAAACATCTTGACCTTTGCATTGACATGAATGATGTAAGTAGACCCCATATTTCTTGTTTGCTAATCAAATATTGATTACTTCTAAGTGAGTATTGCATTTTTTATATTTAATTTTATTGTTTAAAAATTATGACTGACAAGATTTTTTGTTAAGAATTTAAAAAAAAAAATGTTTAATTGTAGCAGAGGAAAGCGCAAATATTGTAAAAGAAAAGTGCTTGATGTAAAACAAAATACAAAGCCTCAAAATTTAGTAATTTTAATAACTGGGAACTGAGGAAAGGGAAGCACCTTTTCAGCCTTTATTAAGACATAGCAGAACCATGTCGGCCATATTTTTATGGGTGAATAAAAAGCAGGAGTATCACTTCTGCCAACAGAGAAGCAACCAAACTAAACTGTATTGTCATTATTATTATTACAGACCCCTTTACAAAGTTGTGACATTTTTGCAAATCCATTGGGGTTTGGCTGTGTGAGTTCAAATCTCATCCTCATCGACAACGTTACAATGAAATTTTCTTCACTTTCTTTTGTCTCTCATAAATACATGTGATTGAGGGGGCAATGAAAAGTGCTTAACAAGGCCCATTCCCCAAAATTGTATCAAATGATTAATCAGGATTTTTTCTTTGTCAGACAACTAACTTTTCAACACCTGCTGTGTGTATCATTATGCATGGATATAGATATCTATCTATAATATATATATATATATATATATATATATATATATATATATATATATATATGAGAGACAGAGAGGAAATTAATATATAATGCTGTAACCAGGAACTAAGGAAATAGAAGCACCATTTCAGCCATTGTTAAGACATAGAAGAACAGTCTTAGCCATGTTATGGGTGAATAAAAAGCAGGCGTATCACTTCTGCCAGCAGATAAGCAACCAAAGTAAGCTGTATTGTTATTATTATAGACCCCCTTACCAAGTTGTGGCGATGATGATGATAATAATAATATTAAATTTTTCTGCAAACATACCCTTGCCCCCCTCTACTACTGTCATTTTCAAGTAATCCTCAGGCATTAAAAGAAGGAACCATACAAAAGAGATCTTTCCTCTGCAGAAATGTTTATTTATATATATAAAAATGCTGGCCATTCATTTTCCATGCTGAGCCATCTTATTAAGCTGGCTCACCAATCATTGTTGCTGACACCTGCTCAAGAACATTTGTGTTCAAACCACCTGTGCTTTTTACTGCAAGTGAGTTGAGCAGGCTTTAGTTACAGTTCATGGAAGAGAGTGCATAATCGGTAGTTTGTACAGTGCCAATATGCTCCAACCCTCAGTCACAATGACTCTTGACTTGATGCTAGCACACACCATTGACCCAATTTCACATGGTTTGAATCGACTCATGGTATGGTTTTCAGGCACTTTCCAAAAGTGTGATGCACTCCTGCTTTATAAGATTCATTATATTAATATTGCTTGTATGTCTGAAGAAGTATTTTGAATAAGGTGCCATTTTATTTATTTTTGTGCTTCCAGTGACCAAGAAGTACAATGTGAACTTATGGATAAAATTGTTCAGTACATTCTCAGAGATGTAAGTATTTTTCTGTTGTTGTAGACTTCTGTGTGTTTAGTACATGTTATTTAGAGTGCAGTCAGCATGCTGCATATAAACATTTACTCTTTTGTTTAACAAATAAAAAAAAAAAATAAAAAAATTCTCTTCTCATTGGAGGTTATTTTTTCATTTTTTTTTCTTTTTAATAATTGTTACTCTATATAGTACACTGTAGTAGTTAAATACCTTACCAATATAAAAGTTCTCGCCAGTAGCCATAATTCTGGCTAGTGATACTAGTCTTTGTTACAAATACCTAGTGTGCTGCAAATCACTTGACTCTCTTAAAATAACTTTTATCAACACAAAATGGAGAAAATAGCACTAGGCTCATATTGGGATGTCATTCATTGGTTAATTTAGAATATTTGCATTTATTGTGTCCTTTATATATAAGTCTTAAATAAAGCAAAGAAAACAAAGTGCTTAATAGTGTCATTCCAGTGCACACTTTGCTGCTTTTCTTGTTGGTGAATTCCAAATTTTCTTTACTATCCACCTCCACCTGATCTCTTGATCACAGGTACATGGGTAGACACTTGACACCTCTGTTTCATCTGTTACTAATTATGATAGTCACTTCTATACACTTATTATGGTATTCGGTTTCAAATAAAATTTACATCTTGCTTTGCAGATGATGATGTGCCATTCTCTGATTTGTCATGTTCTTAAAATGGTGCAGAACTATTAACTAGGACAGATTGTAGGCTACCAATTTAAGTGACTGTTCCTCTCAGAGCCAAGAAAGAAACAGCCATTAGCTATCCAGCTTTGGAACTGATGCTCATAATCATTGATTTTGCTTGGGCATGGGATACAGTTTTGCAAGTCTTCTGGTATCAGATCTGATTATTTACATGTTTCAGACCAAATGTTCCCCAGTTGGTTAAACTCCATGCTGAAATTGGACTTGTCTATCCAAATTGCCACGCACACAGGTGCCTCTTTGTGTGAAAACTACTACACCTGGGTGTGTAATATAAAAACAATGAATGATTTGATTGCATTGATCCTGAATTTTCTTATTATATGCCAGTGGCTTTTCATGCACCACTATGATGTTGACCTCAACAGGTTTTTATTACCCACAAAAAGACCGGTGGGCCCAACTCTACACCAGACATGCATTAATCATTACCAGATACATGCCCATCCTTGTTCATTGATCACACCTCTTCTTGTTCACAACATCCTGAATCAATTAGTGCTGCACACCACTTTCCACTAACTTAAATCCCATTCTAGGTTTGACGATAAACTACATCTGCGTCCAGGGTAAGACGATAAACTACGTCCAACAGCAAGGCCTCTGATCAGGAGGCTTTGAGGAGCGTGGAACCACCTCTTAATTGCTGATTTTCCCAGGTTCACCCTGATCCAGGCTGGTAGCACCCGTTAGGGTCCCAGCTATGGGCAAATAGTTAACCCCAAAACTGAGATAAAAAACATTATAAAAGTGTAAAAATAGGTTTTAATACCAGAAATACTTTTTTAAAAATTATTACCAAAGATAAATTTTTGAAGAAAAAAAAAAAGATTACCAGCAATACGTTTTTGAAAAAATATTACTAGCTATACGTTTTTGAAAAAATAATATTACCAGCTATACATTTTTGAAAAAAATAATATTATTAGCTATATATTTTTGAGGAAAAAAATATTAACAGAAATAGATTTTTGACAAAACAAAAATGTTACCAAGAAAAAAAAGTTGTCGGCTTTAAATGACCTATTGAGGTTGATATGCTATAAAACAAACCAAACTAACTTAAACCATGATACCAGTTAGCCATATATATTATAATTTGTTTAGGGAAGAGACTGGTGTTGACATTTTGATTTTGACTTACTTTCTGGGCAGTTCCACATCTGGCTCCAGATTTTGACACCTAAAAACATTGTATATGAAATATGGAGTGAATGTTAGTGGTTTGCTACAATATAAGTGGCATACTAGGTCCTAATTGTGAAGGTTAAACCTGGCAGAATACACCCATCATCTCAGTCGAACCAGTGAGTGCACTCATAGTTTTCCCTGCCTTTTCCCCCCTCCACCTCATATGAGTTCAACATATATAAATAAGATACATATAAATAGAAGTAATAATGCTGAGCTAAACTTAAATATTCTGGTTGGTCAATATCGGCAGCAAATAAGACCTGTGTTTATGCAATGATGTTTAATGGATTTTAATTCATTAACAAATCCAACATTTTTATAAATTATTTGTTTATATTATGTTTTTATTCTAGGAGGATTTCGATCAAGACATGGCTGCAACATTAGCCACATGCTTATGTCAGATCCTGAGTAATTTGTGCATAAACAATTTATTCCCTCAAGAAGTTGATGAAGAGTAAGTGGGGAAAGATATATTTTTTTTTTAATTATTTTATTAATTTTTTCTTTTAAAAAAAATCAAATTTTGAATTGCTTTCAAATATTTTGCCTTTTTGTCATTTTTACCTATTTAAAAAAATGTTGCTTTTGATAATTTAAAAATTGGTTGCTAAATATATTTTTCTTTCTCTAAATTATGAACTTGATATTAATTTTTTTGATAATTAATTTCCTTTAATGTATAACTAGAAAAAGAAACATTTTTGAAATTTCTCTATTAATATGGAAAATAAAAATTTTAGAATAATTTGAAATATTTTTAAAACTTAACTTTTAATGTTTGTCAAACAAAATGAATGTGGGAGAATTTTAATTGGATTTCAGATTTCTTCCATTGCTAATTAAGTATTGGTTAGATGAAGACAAATTTTTACAAAGATTTAGAAAATAATTAAAATTTGAAGGATTTCTTCATAGTTACAAATACATTGTTTTTTTAAATTCCCTTTTACAAAGTTTATTAACTCTTGTCGACTGACAATTTTTAGAAATAAAATATTGAAAAATGCAAAAACCAGTTTCTATTTTTATCCTAAAATATTAGGTTTGTGCAAAAGTTACCAGATTTTTTTATTATTTTTTCTATTGCGTGTGTCCAATACCTTTTTTTTTTTTCTTTTTTTAGAAAAAAAAAAACTATAGGACACTTGGAACTTTTACACACACCTAATAGTTAACAAATCTCTGATTAGAATTTATAACTCTTATTCTTTGTTTTATCTATCCATTTTATGGGTTACAAATAAATCTGGATAAAATCTGGCTTATATTAAAAAATAGGTTTTTTTTTGTGTTCTGCTACAGATTTAAATAGTATTCTCATACTTTTCATAGCTCTGTTCTTTTTCCATTTTTGCAGATCTGTTTTATATTTTTGAATAGAGAATATTTTTGGCTAAAATATTAACCAACGGTTTAATAATTACTTTCTATTTGTAAAATGTATAGAAATTCTTTAAAATAAACAGATTTGTTATATAGTATTAAGACCTTACTCAAATTTCAGCAAATGGTATTTGAGTACATTTTGACCGTGAAAAATATTAGTGGATTAAGTTCTTTTGTAGATTTGACAGCAGATTTGGCTTTTGTTCCTTTGTCTTTTTATTAAAAATTCAGTTGATTTTGTTTTACATTTAAAGAATCTGTAGATATTGCATCACAATCTGCATCTGTCAGTTTAATCCAACTTTTCTACAACTTTGAAATTTTATTCTTGAATACATATTTTTCATAATAAAACCACTTACTCTTCTTATTGACAATAGAATTTATTTAGGAGATAATAGAGGAAAATAAAATTGTGTAGTAAAAAAAAAAAAAAAAAAAACTTTTCTTAATATTATATTACATGTATTATGCATGTTTACATACACACACACATTTATGGGTTAAATTGCTCAATATCAGGGATAGAGCAGATGTAAATATCAAAGTGGACATTAAGGTCAGCACCCAGTGACAGTCTGTTTCATGCTTATACACAATCATCAGCACTTTAACTCATAAATATAACATACCTTAACATACCTTTTATATATATATATATATATATATTTGTGACATGTTTCATTGAATAATTTAGACAAGTTTTGTCTACTTATTTTCACTTGGATCCTTTCATATTTACAGGCAAGTTTTTTGGTGTCATTGTTAAAGGAAGAGAAAATTAGAGTGTTGATACATATTGTTTATTCAGAATACTTTCAGATGAACACAGCAATTTTGTCTATGAAAATAAACACTACAATATTTGTCTTGAAATAAACAACACCCTGATGATAACATTGTGCTAATGTTGAAAGTAATTGAAATAAACAATATGTATTAACGTGGTAAATTTCTCTCTTCCTTTAATAATGGCGCCAAAAAGGTTGTCTGTGTATATGAAAGGATCCAACTGAAAATAAGTAGACAAAACCTGCGTAAATTATTCAATGAAAACATGCTGCCAAAATATACGCTATATATATATATATATATATATATATATATATATATATATAATCTTTGAGCAGTCATCCCTCTTTTATACAAGTTTCATTAAAAATGACTGACAAGGTACTGTGGATATGTTTTTTTATTTTTCTTGTGTTCTTATAATTTTCTTCTTTTCTGGACATGAATTATGTAGAAATTGTCTGAATGTTCTTTGGCAGTTATCAGATATACAGAACATTCGAACAATTTCTATATAATTTATGTCCAGAAAAGAAGAAGATTATAAGAACACAAGAAAAAAAACAAACAAAAAAAACTTAACAGCAGTATCTTGTTAGCCGTTTGTAAGAGGTTCTTGAAAGCTTCTTGGTCTGATCAAGAATGATCTTGAATCATAAAATGTACATGCTATTCCATGCATTTACTTAACAATTCAACACACTTGGCACATTGTTTCTTATGTTCTTTTAAGCCTTCTAAAATAAATTGATGTTTGCTCGTTGAAATACTGATTTTTTTTTTTTTTTTTTTTTTTTTAGAGTAGGTCAGGCTGAGAAATTTTCAGCACCATCTTGTTTATAGCATTACATAGAGTAAAGTGTAAGTTTAGAAATTTTCCCCACATCTTAGTCATTATTTTGAAATTCCCTTTTGATACTTAATATTTAGGAGGTTCTTTTTGATTGGCTATGGATTACTTGTGTGAAAGTCAACTTATTGCTTTTTCCATTGAGATATTTAATAGTGAATGTAAAAGTTGACATCTAAAATAAAATTTGTCCAGTTTATTTAAAAAAAAGACTTTTAATTCTATCTTTTTAATGAAAAACAAATGACTGACAGTTGCAGCAAGCTTTTCAATATCACATTTTCTTGGAAAATGACATGATTGGTAACTGAAATAAATTGTGTTTCTCAGTAAGCTGTGTAATTAAACAAAAACTTGGTAAATATATCATAATTATCTCTTTACTAATTAAATATTTCTTTTGCTACTGGTAGATTGAAAAGATCTGTTGCTATGAGATTGCTAATATAAACTGTTTGTAGAAAATAAAAACCACTTGTGCATTTATTTCAGTGGCAGAAAACAAAGGATTATAGGGAAAAATGTCAAAACCATGGCAGAAACTTAGAAAATAAATTATAGAGAATCTACTTAAAAAAGACATTGATTAAAGTCAGATTTTAAAGAAATGTGATTGTTGCATTGTGTGCTAATGAAATGTTTATAAAAATGAAAATATGTTCTTTAGGGAAATTTATTGCATATCCTGATCATTTTTTTTTCTTATACCATCTTAAACCATCCATGAGTTAAAATATTAAAAACAAAACATTGGCATGATAACTTATATAGAGGAATAATTTATCAGTTAGTCTAAGAATCTTTATTAGAGATTGGAAATAAATTTTTTACTCATTGTCTTGGTACATCATTGATTTTTGGTTTTAAAAGATAATGAAAAGAACCTGTCACTCTCTCTCCTCTATTCTAAGAGTGGGTGATTTGTTTGTCTGTTGCCTTTCTTGGGTGTTGTTGCCATTCTGCATGCTCATTTGTGGAATTGAAATTCTATCTGGTATGTTGTGGCCTTGGTAGGCATTTTGCTCAGCATTTATTATTCATAGTCTACTGATTGAACCATTAATACCAGCAACAGTTATTATTTATTTTATTTATAAATTTTTTTTTCCTTTTAATTACTAAATAATACAACTTTTGCCGTCAAGTGTACATGTATATAGCACTTGAAAAAAAAAACAAGTTTCATCTCTATAAAATATAAAAATATTTCAGTTGAACTAACAGTTAAGTGATAGTCACAATACTTGTTACATTGACATTTGATTTTTTTTTTATTTATTTTAAATTCTTGTAAGTCACAATAAGTAAATTCTTTATTAGTATTTGATATGTATCTGCCTGCCATCAGTCTGTATTAGAATATTTTGTAAATAATTCTCTTTAAAGGTTAGTGCAATTTTTTTTTTTTTTTTTTTTAACAAGAACTAAAATAATGATGCAGGAAATAGTTGTTTGCACCAGCAAACCAATTTCCTTTAAGTATTCATCATTTTTACATCATTATGTTCAAATATTATTCATAATCCAAGTCTATAGTGACAACTCACCTGAAATTTCATAAGTTGGACATTTTAGTTTTTTATATACTTCAGCCGTGTTGGTTGGGCAGAAAGTCATTCTCCAATTTTAAATTTTAGAATAAACAGTCCTCTTGTTAGTCTTCTTATTGATTATATAAAAATATGCTTTCTTGTATACAAATAAACTTTTCTTATTTTAACTTGTCATTAAATCTATAAATAAGTTTTTTTTTTTTCTGTAAAAGTGACAGTGTTATTTTTAATATTTCCCTTAAACATTGTAAGTGTATTTGGTATCCACCCTAAGGGATATGCAGGTAGCATTATTTATTGGCATGTAAAGTGTAATGAGTAGAGTTCAAATTCCAGTCTAGTCTCTTATATTTGCTTTTGCACAAATACCCTTGGTGAAAGGCATGCATCCATTTCATTCATCATTTCCAGCTATGGGGCTAAATAGTAAAGAGTTTATTGGGCCTTGGGTAGCAGTAAGTCTATGAGGAGGACTACCCCGAATTAAATATTGTGGAGAAGATACTGATAAACCATTCCACTATCTTTCTGAAGCAGTCATGGCAATTCATAGATCATAAGGTAAATGAAGCTGTGGAGAGCAATAATCATCTTCATCTTGAAGGGACATGGCATTAAAATAATTCCACTATAGGCGTGTTAGAAAACTTTATTCTTATAAGTATTTACTTAGCTTAGTTTGGGTACAGTATGGCAGATGTAAATCCCTATTGAGGATTTAACTTAACAGAAAATTTTGCTAAAAGCAATTATTCCTTGAGATATCCTCTTTATTTTTAAAATCAAACTGAACTTTTGTGACTATTAGATTTTATATTTATAGTGACATATTTTTAAAATTGTAACTAATCTTGTGACACCTTAAATCGTTTCAGCTTGACTTTCTATAATGCTGTCGCTGCATTTGACATTGTCTCATATTGGAATTTTGTTGAAAGAAAATTAAGGACATAGCATAGACTGGAAGATATGGCACTTGTAACTTCTTGGTGTTATTTTAATTTCCTTGTCATAGTATGAAATATTTATACCAGTAGTTTATTTGAACAGTTTCATTCCTTGAGGGTATTTTTTTTTTTATCTTACTACTGGATGTGTGTTGTGGTGTAATGGATATTGGTTTGGAGTGAGAACTTGCAGAACCAAGTTCGAATTCCAGTCGAGTTCATTAGATTCACTTATGCACAAATACCCTTGGGAAAAGTATGAATACACTCCCACCCTGCAGAATGCTATGAGTTGAATAGCAGGACAAACTGGGTTCTTTAGCCTTGGTTGGCAACCAGTTTACCGCAGAAAGAAATGGCAACCTACTGCTGGAAAAAATATGCCTCGTCAGTCATGTATTGAACGATACATGATCGCCAAAGCTTGTATTGCATATGGCACTTAACTAACTGACTGAATGCCATGTACTTTGCACTTGATCTCGAAAAATTATTGATCAGTTCTGCTTCATTAGTAGGGGTCCATTCATCTAACCAATCAAAAAATAAATATTGGTAGATGTATGAAGATGAAATTTCCATTTTCAACTTTCTTACAGTTGATCTTTAGTTGTGGTTAAAGATTTGTAGGTTTCTGATAGCTTAGGGGTTGAGTGGGTTAATTTTTAAATTAACATTGTAAAATACTTTTAATTCAAAATCTATATAAGTTTTCCATTGATAAAATAAATGAATAAAGAATGACTTGTATTCCTACTCTTTAGATGGCTGAATTATATAAACTACAGGTTCTGAGTAATTCTTTTAAAATATGATAGCAGAATTTTGCAGTATCTTTTTCTTTGCTATTTTAATTTTTTTTTTTTTTTCTTTTAGGTTTGTAAAATTTTTAAAATTAGAATTTGATTGTTACAATTATATAATTTGCTATTAGTTAAATCATTGAAAGTATATATATATTTTTTCTAATATTTTTTGGTAAGTTAATCTGTATTTTGCCACATGTATACAAATTGAGTGACCAGATCCTTTTTACTTTGTTTGCTATATAAATTAACCCTCTCATGTTTTCAAATATATTTTTCTCTATCTCCTTCTTTTCTCTCTTTGCTTTCTCCAATTTTTTTTTCTTTGTGATCACCAGTTTTTTCTTTTCTTTTCCTTTTTTTTTTTTTTTTTTTTTTTTAAATATATTTTTCTTTCTCTATATTCTGGCTATGCTTGTGACTGAGAGGTTGTACTCGCAAGCCGTGAATTTTTACATTTTATTTTGGTCAGTCTTCGCATTGTTGTCTAAGTAGATTTTTCAGAAAAAGAGAAGCAATAAATAAATAAATGAACCGTGCCGCAGTCTGACCAAATGCTGCTAAAAGTACAAACTGGAACCCTCTCCAAGTTATACTGTTCAATGTTTCATTCAGGGACTGTTGCAAATCAAGAGATCCTGGAAATTTTTCACTACTTCACATGGAAAGGAAGGATATGGTAGGATTGGTGAGGTCAGAAGGAAGGTATGGTCAGCAAACTTGGCTGGCAACACCAGTCTTATATATAAATATATGTACATATAAATGTATATATATCTGTCTGTCTATCTATCTATCTATCTATGAATATATATATATATATATTATATATTTATGTATTGGTTTAAAAAAAACTCCAATATATGTATTTTTTTTTTTTTTTTTTTTTTTTTTAAATATTAAATGTAAATTTGATGGGGGGTTGTGTTACTTTAAGTTTTTCTAATCATTTTTTTTTTTAATTGTTTTATTTAAATTTTAAATGGCATCTTTTAAATTTGTGATTGTTGATTCAGCTGCTTGTACTTTTGTGCAGTTTCTGTTTCATATAAACCTTCTTTTTATTATATATTCATTAAAATAGCAAAATCCCCTCCCCTTTATTTTTTATTTTTATTTTTTTTTTAAATTAATTCTTTTCCAATTGAAATCATTCTTTATGTTGAAAGTAGTTGCAAAGTAGTTCTTTATGTTGAAAGTAGTTGCAAATTGGTGTAATCTCTGATTACCAAAGATTGGAATGACCTAATCCTTCTTACATATAGGGTGATTGAAAAGTAACTCACAATTTTATGCCTGGAGGACTTCCCTATCTTGTAAAAATTAGTCAGATGGGAGAGTCCATCATACATAAAATCGGGAGTTACTTTTCAGTCACGTGTGTGTGTGTGTATATATATATATATATATATATATATATATATATATATATATAATCTCTTAAAAAGAAGATAAACTGCAAACATTTTTGGCTGAAATGTGTATTGTTTATTTTAAAATATATATTATACTCTATTTTCCATAATTCTGCTACACGTGTTTCTGAAACAATTAAAAATGTTTGTAGTTTATCTTTTTAAAATATACACATTTTTTCTTGTTGGAACAACTGTAACCTCTCTCTCTCTCTCTCTCTATATATATATATGTGCAAGCGAGTTTACTTTTTGTTATGCAATTTTTTCTCTTATTTTAAGTATTTTACAACAGAAGCTTGTACAATGGCTTTGCTGATATGTTAACAACATAAAGAATGAATTCATTTGTTCTGAACACTATAAGGTAATAAGGATTATTCTCAAAATTATAGACAATATGTTTTTCTTAAAACAATTCAAGAATCCTCAATGCAACAGCATTTCACATTTAGGTTTGTGTGAAATTGAAATCACAGCCTAATATTTATAGTAAACAAAATTTGTAGATTCAAGTTTTTTTTTTTTTTTTTTTTTTTTTTTTTGCATTTAAAAAAATTTTTTTTAATTTCTTGCATTTTTAAAATCATGCTTTTAAATTCTAAAATGATTAGACTATTTGAATGTTATTCATAATTTAAGCTTGAAATAGCAATAATAATTTTAGTGTCATTGCTTCAATCACTGTTGATATATTGATTGACTAAAGTTTTGCTCCCCCCCCCAAACAGCTTTAACCAAGTTTGTTGTAATTATAGAAAAAAAAAAAAAAATTTTAACAGCATTAGAATGATAAATATGAGAATAATATCTATTCAAGGCAGATAATTCAGTAAATCATAAATTTCATGTATTAGTTGAAAAATCTGGAGTTTTTAAAAAAAAAAATCTATAAATATATATATATATATATATGTATGTATATATGTATGTATAAATATCTCTTTCGACATCAGGCTTGCTATTAATATAATTAAAAAAATAACAAATTGAGGGACCTTGTTGGCCACTCATATTATGAAGGATAGAGCTGAATTGAAGGCCATTAGAAATCTCTCTTTATGTCTACTTAGATGCCAACTAACCACACAGTATCCCAGCAGTCATTTTGATATGTGTCAGCCATCTTTCCCCGCCCCACTCTTAAAAAAAGAAAAAGAAAGAAATTGAACTTTAATGTGTTATATTACTATTAGCACTGGCTGCATAGAAATATGTGCAATTGTAGTTTATAACACGTGGCAATGTTTTGTACATGTTAACTGTAAATGTATGATGTGTTTGTGTAAGTATGTCTGTATTGCCACAACAACAACAACACAATCTATCACTATAATGTCCAGCCTGATTTCACTTGCAATCTATGCAACAAAGTGTGCAGGTCAGCAAGTGAACTTACCTGGCATTACAAGTCACAACCCCATAATAGTAATGGAGCAAGTGGTAAGCTTGCTTGCAAAAGGTGTAGCTCAAAATGTAGATCACTCATTGGACTAATGAGTCACCAAAAATATTATCAGCAGCAAGAAAGTCAACGGTAAAGTCTTGCAAGTGGTTGTACACTGACAGGTGTTGACTTTTTGCCATTAAGAACGTTTTGTTCCTACTACCTTTCATTCTCCTTCCAAATATAGAGGCTCTAGAAATTACTAAAGCTTTATGGCCAAAGTTGCTGATTGCATTTGGTAAAGAATCTAATTGAATGTACAGATCTTTTCATTTCTAACTTCTGTTGTACTGATGACCTTCTTTTTTTTTTTTTTTTTTTTTTTTTTTCCAAAGGGGAATTTTCGCATCAGAACTTGCTATTGTTCTGGCAACCCTAGGTTAGATTTTTGTTATTTGCATGCAGTCAAGTAGTTTTGGACAGAGATTTTTTTTTTAAATGCATGCTCCTTCTTGTGTATTAGGTGAAATATTAGGGGAATTGAAGTAAGAAAATTGCAAATATTAAGCATACCTTGTGTATCTTCTGTGATTATCTTTGCTCCAAATTGGGTTGAGTGTTGATACTATGGATAGAATGAAACAGCTGAATTCTTAGGCATGACTTGCAATGAATGATTTTGGCTGTGGTATGAAAAGTCTGTGGCTATTGTGTGTGTGTATATATATATATATATATATATATATATATATATATAATGTAATATATTTTTGGTTAGATTGTGACTTGGTCATTGGTTTATCAGGTTAGTATAATTGTTGTTGTGATAATAATGACAGTAATGGTTGTGATTCTGATTCTAGTGGCTCTTGCATACAATTGTGATGGGGAAGCAGTTTCCTATTGTATTGACTGTGCTGGTGATGGCAACAACGTGTGAGTGTTTTTGATGGTTGGCCTACATTTTGCTCTACTCCTTTCATTTGTTTCTTCATGTAAATATTCTTTGTACATGCAAATACCTTCTTTTTTTCTTTCTTTATTTCTTTTTGCTTACTTCATGTTTTTGTATTCAGCTTTGTTATGAGATGGATCAAGCTTTGATTAAATTATTTTAATCAGAAAGTTAATTAAATTAATTCAATTATTTTCTAACCATTTCTTTTCTTACTGTTTTTCAACTTTATTTTGAAAAGAATTTTTTTTTTTTCAATTATAATATATTGATAACAAATAAAGGTGGAGCTTGTATACTGATTAATCATTGAGGCTATGAAAATTGTTCTAGGAACTAATATACAGAATAGTATTAATAAAAATTAACATTTAGCACTCTGCATCATTTTTAAATATTACTTCCCCTTTTACTATTTATGGAATCCCTCAAAATATAGTGTTTATATATATATATATATATATATATATATATATATATATATATATATATATATAGTAGCCTGGCACTCAATTTCAGTCAAGATTGTTTTAAGTGTTGCCATAGAAGGATATGACTACACAACCAAGAAATTCAAATTCAACTTGCATTGGCAGGACTAACATTTTACTTAGTGAAAATAGTCACCTACAGTGTGCTAAAGGTTAAAATAAACTTGGACCAGTGAAGAATATTGTTATTTTATTTTATTTATTTACTGTTTGTATCTGAATGCATCCAGAGATTTTAAGGATTTTGATATTGTGATTTAGGTTGTTGTGGAATCCTATTTTGAAAGGCTGGGCAGAAAGTGTTTTACAGATATCATTTTACATTCAAGTTTTTGATATGGACATGATTAAAACATAGAGGGAAGTGTTTGTATTTATATAGAGGCTCTTGAAATGGATAAAATTACAATATGCAAAAATTATTTCCGAGATTTTTCTTTCTTGTTTAAACTGCATAACTATGTGAAAATATTAAATTATGTAAAAATTCATTTATACTACTAAAAATATATCTTTAAAAGGACACTATGAATAAATAAGTTGTCCTTTTGTCTTGTCTTCACTCACATTAAAAACTTTAAAAGTATTCTATAACATTTATAGATTAAGAATTCAAATAGGAAAATTAAATCTTTGACATTTATCATGCAATGTGAATGTTATATAATTGCTTTGTAGTGTTTTTACCTGCACACATAAAAGAGGTACCCCTAAAATAATTGGTATGTATTTTAAAAAAATCATAATCCCTCATCTTTGGAAACTGGATCATTTCAAACTTCTTTCCTTAAATTGTCTCCACCCCCATTCAAATCATTTTTTTATCTTCTATGTGCAAATGTGGCACAGATTTTTGTAGGAACACATTTTATTTTCAAATATTCTGTTAACTTTCACTGGCATGAATTTCAAAACAACCAATCACCTTCAATGGTCTTAGGACTGTCTCCACTGGTTAACTTCAGAATTTTCATCATTGGGGCAATTTGAAGATCAGCTAGATGACGGTCGGTCTTCAAGTCATGTTTCACCACTTTCAACATGCAAATACAGCTTGTACATGTGTTTTTTTACTGAAAGTATTTTTTTCTTTTTTCCATAAATGTTCATGAGGCATTATGACAGCTTTGGCAGCAGTTTTCTATGAAAGAATGCAAAACTTTATGCATACACTTTATCATCAACCATCGCAAAACATACTAAAAGTATTTGCAAGCAGCAGAAGAAACACTGAGAAGAAACAATCGATCCAGAGCCAGCATGGCTTGGAATAGTACTGACTTGTACCTATTGATACAAATTGTAATTTTATACATTACAAATATTTTGTGCACCACATCTGAAATTCAGGTTTCCTCATCTATACACACACATACATATATATATAAAGTTAATGGTCATAGTTAAATTAGACCAGGAAACAGTAGTATTAAACAGTCCTCAATACACATATAAAA